GTAATGAGTTGGGTGTATTCGCGGGGGTGGGGCGGGGGATAGTACTGGAATTTGAACTCAGGGCCTCAATGCATGCTAGGCAGGTACTCTGTCAAGTGAGCCATGCTCTCACCCCTTTTTTGCTTTAGTTGTTTTTAAGGTAGGGTCTCAGCATTTTTGCCTGGTACAGGCCTCAGACTAGGATCCTCAAACTCACAGCCTCCTGAGTAGCTGCAGTTACAGGCTTGAGCCACCTCACCCTACCCAATCGAATGTTTTTAAACCTGATTTTTGAGGGGGTGAAATGGAGCCCAGAAGTTAGTCAGTTGATTGTTGAGTTTCAGAGTAAATATGAGAAATAGATTGAACTTGAATATAAATTCTTTAAGTTCAGAATTTAGTTTTATAACATTACCATCAACTCCTGAAACATATGTGATGGTAGTAGGATAATTGTTTCCTTAAAAATGTATAAAAATGCAAACTGGGGCTTAGAGTGTAGCTTAAGTCGTAGAGCACCTGCCTATCAAACAGGAGGCCCTGACTTCAAATGCCAGTACTGCTGAAAACCAAGTAAAAATGCAAGCTGTTTCAAAACCTTGTCAGCTGTTGACTTTCTTATTAGGCCTCTGAAGTGTAATTGTTTTGTCAAGTGTCGACATGAAAATATATACCACATATCAAAGCCTCTTGGTTTGTTATTTTTGAAGACCTTTTCAGTGAGGAACTTCTAAATATCCTGTCATCACTCAACATAGGTTCATTCTGCTCTGTTTAGTTGCTGCTCCATTTCAATACTATACAAGAAATGATGGAAGTTTATGGTAGGCTCAGTAGGGAAAAGTCAAGCCTAAAGATTTAAGAGATCTCAAATAACACTTAAACATTCTTTAAAAGTCCACAGTCTTAGCTGCAGGTATCTGAACTGCCTTGAGATACTTACTGAAGGGTATTTGCCAGGTTATTTTTTCATAGAGAAGAAAAGTGCTTTAAGAAAAAGTTTAGTGTTTTAACAATTTACTTCTCATTGTTCTTACTAGTTTTCCAAATAAAAGGATAAGAATAAATTGAGTTGATAAACTTTTTTTTTATGATGGTACTGGGCCTCACGCTTAGTAGACAGGCACTCTACCAATTGAACCACTCTGCCAGTCTTTTTTTTTTTTTTTTTTTTTTGTATGTTGGGTATTTTCGAAATAGAGTCCCTGTTTCCCTGGGCTGGCTTTAAACTTCAATCCTCCTGATCTCTGCTTCCTGAGTAGCTAGAATTACAATCATGAACTACCGATACCCGGCTAACATTAAAATTTTTAGAGGAGTTTGGCACAGTAGCTCATGTCTGTAATCCTAGCTACTGAAGAGCAGAGATCAAAAGGATCCGACGTTTGAAGCCAGCCCAAGCCAATAGTTCACTAGACCCTATCTCAAGAAAAACCTTTACAAAAAAGGACTGGTGGAGTGGCTCATGGTGTAGGTCCTGCATTCAAACCCAAGTACCGCAAGAAAAAAAATTAGAGGAACATTTTTGTCAGAAATAATTTTACAAAATACTTTAAACACAGATTCAAATTTAGTGATTAAATAGGCAATATTCCAAAATTTTATAACAAAATGGAAAACAACTTTGTATAATAATAGCTATGGACATTTTTGACCATAGAAATCTGAGGATTTGGAGATTTTAGGTGATTTACTCCATGCAACAATCATCTACTAAGAAAGAACAAACATCTTTTGAAAAGTTACACACTGGAATCTAGAACCAGGTCTATTTATATTCCTGTGTGAAATTAAAAACCTGGGGCTGCTGGCTGAGTGTGATGGCTCACCCCTGTAATCCTGGCTACCCAAGAGGTAAAGATTTGGAAGACTGCAGTCTAGACTGGCCCAGGGAAAAACACTAGACCCTATTCAAAAAATAGCTTTAAAAAAAGGGCAGAGGACATGGTTCATGTGGTAGAGTACCTTCCTAGCAAGCACAAGTCCCTGAATTCACACCCCAGTACCACCCAAATAAATAAATAAACAGTATAACCACCCCAAAAAAAGGAGTAAAAACAAAAAAGAAACAAGAATTGAGGGCTGCTTAAGGAAGGAAAGGGATTTCAGCGTCTGTAGGCAGCACGGAGTCAGCACAACAAGCTTTGAGAAACTTGAAGTGAGCCTGTTGGGCATGTGACATACCCAGGCACAAATCACACTTGTTCACAGGAAAATATCTAGGCTCCTATCATGACATTAGTGTCAGGCTAACTTACTATAGGATTTAGAGTTTTTCCTTTAAAACTTTATGCATCTTTTTTTAAATTAGGAACAAAGGCATGTTTCTTGCAGAAGATGCCCTTCTGTTGATCAATCAGAAACACCAGTGATGAACTGTGAGGCTCTCAGTGTATACATGTATGTGCAACTCCAATAGTGTGAATATTCAAAACAGTAATAAGCACTGTAGTATAATGTCAAGTATTGTGCAGTATAATTGAGATAAGGTAATGTGATAGGTGTGAAAAGACCAGAAGAAACTACAAACTGACGTTACACAGGAGGAGATACCAAGTGCACAGAAAAATAAGCCACACCAGTAATCAAAAAGTAAGCTAAATAATGTTAACCATTGTATAGTTATTAGTGAACTTTGAAAAAACTTTTTGGTGGTAAAATTAATACATCTGTTGTGCTGGGAATTTGGAAAATGTACAAAAGTCCAAAGAATCATCTGTAATTATCCAACCAGATTTTCCTAACAAATACTATTTTAGTGTTTCCCTTATTTTTTTTCCTATATACATATACCTTTTTTCCAAGTAACAGTGTATGCTAAAATTTTTCTATGTCATTAAATATCCTTAATATCAAGTAATCGGAAGCACCCTGAATGCCCCTCTGTAAATAAATTAGCTTAAATATTTACATACAAACTCAACAGAACAACATACTATTAAAAAGAATAATGAGGCTCTGGAAAAGAAGTTGTATGTGAAATGGTATAAATGCTATAATTTTAGCATTTCCTTAAATGTCCTTAAATCCTACCTTAAATTCCTGTACATTTTTCATGCCTCTCTTTGGTGCTATTTCTCTGAGAAACCTTCCTTAATTCCGCATTTCTTATAAGCTGACTCCTTGACTATACTCTGTGGTCCTAATATCTGTTGCCATTTTAGCAATTACCATGTTGTATAACTGTTAAAAAGCACAGTTGTCTCTTCTGGTAGAACTGTGCTCTTTTCATCTTGCTTCCCCTAACCTAGTACACTAGTGGGCTAGTGTATAGTGGAGCTTAATAAATATTTATCAAATATAAACTATTGTATGGGGTTGTATAGTATATGCAAAATAAAATACTTTGAATTTCCAGTAAAATAAACAATCTAATTAGAAACAGACTATAAGTAGAAACCATAAAAAAATCTTTAAGGACTGGTGGAGTGGCTCAAGTGGTAGAACACCTGCCTAGCAAGCGTGAGGCACTGAGTTCAAATCCCAGAACTGCCAAAAAAATTTAAAATTTGGGGTTTGGTTTGTTCTTTAAAAAATAAATAAATAATAAAATAAAATCTTTGAAAACTGCAATGGGAGAACAGCTCTCAAGACCAAGTTATGAATAAAGCATTAGCAAGAGTAAACAGGACTTGTTAAGCAAATACAGCATATAAGAACACATTCTTTGATTCATTTAATCAAGAACCAAAATAATTACCTCTAAAATAGGTGTTCCTTTTGGTGGTATAAAGTTCTATAGTTTGATATTATGTATTGCTATATTGATAAATGCAAATGGCATTTTTAAACATATCTACAAGCAGTTACAGTTTCAAAATTATTCTTTTTGTATACCATATATGTGAAATTAATGATATCATTTAGTGGTACTTTATAATGATATTTTCTCAAAATACTAGATACAAGCATATATCTAATTGAAAAAACAGTTGTGATCTTTTAGAAATAGTGCCAGCTACCTTGTAGGCATGAATGCTTCTGAAATTTGACTTTTCTTCTGATGGCAGTATTTGACAGATTACTGTAGAGGAAGCTTCATGTATTAAAGCATCATTTTAATATGTCAAACATTTAGCAAATCAAGTATTTCTTGTTATTCGTTGGAAGTACTGTTTCCCCTGAGTCAGAGGTCTCAGTTTTCTTTTTCCTTTAGAGTCCTTGGTGCTCTTTTTGGCTAGAGACCCCAAGTGTACAACAGCATTTTAGCTAGATAAAGATGCCAACCCAGGAAGAAAAAAATCTTTTTGATAAAAAAGAGTGAAATACAATCTAGTAATACTTTGACTATATTTATACAGTTTATAATTTCATTAATCTAAATTTTCCTGTACTTAAAAATATGTGGGGATTAGGACCTCTCGTACTACAGCCTATGTTAATATCAGGTCTAAATTGTAGGTAGCAAAACTAAGAGCAGCTTTTTTCAAATTACATATCTATCCAATTTATCTGTAACAATCTTGATTATATAATTGGGGGTTATATTTCTTTCATCTTTTCTAACTTTTTTCTAAATAGTTATGTTGTATAATTAAAACCACTAACCTTTAATTACATTATTATCTTTTGCGGTAATCATGTGTGATCTTTTACAGTTTTGCTAATATTTTGAAACACATAAAAAATTTGTCAGTATATTTAATTGAACCTTGTAATTTAGTGGTTTTTAGTCTTTTTTGTGCCAAAGAATCTTACATAAGTCATTCTCTTACCAGAAAAGATGTATGTGTATGTATACATATATATATGACATAACATTTTAGTAGCTAATGTTTCACCTGAATCCAGACACCTGGATTATAAACCTCTGCTGTATATTTTTATATCATATATTTTATGATTTTGACATACCCTTTTAGAAGTATCAAAAGGATCTCATCATAAAGCAGTCTACAAATCTGTTCTAGAAATAACAGAATTCTTACATTTTCCTATTGTATTGTTTACATGTAAATCTAAATTGATTTTTTTCTGAATTGTTTGAAATATTTACATATAAGCTGTGTTTCTTATTCTAGATTCAGAAGAGGCTCAGTCTGTAAATCCTTCTAGTGTTGATGAAAATATTGACTCTGAAACAGAGAAAGACTCACTCATCTGTGAAAGTAAACAGATTCTTCCCAGCAAAGCACCTCTTCCATCTGCCCTTGATGAGTATGAGTTCAAAGATGATGATGAAGAAGAAGTAAATAAAATGATTGATGATAGGCATATTCTTAGGAAAGAGCAACGAAAAGAGAATGAATCTGAAGCAGAAAAGAGTAGTTTATTTGCAAAACAGGAGAAAACCTTCTATTCAAAATCATTTAAAAATAAAAAACAAAAGCCATCTAGGGTTCTATATTCAAGTACTGAAAGTTCTGATGAAGAAGTTCTTCAGAATAAAAAGGTTTCTACTGCATGTTCTATTCCTGAAACATCAAATTCTGATACACAAACCAAAAGGGAATATGAATACAAGCATAAAGGCAAAGTTAAAAGGAAATTAAAAAACCAGAACAAAAATAAAGAGAACCAAGAGCTGAAACAAGAAAAAGAGGGGAAAGAAAATACTAGAGGAACAAACTTGACAGCTAATGCTACACTAGATTGTTCAGAAAAGACCAGAGAGGAGGGGAGTTTTAGGAAATCTTTTAGCCCAAAAGATGATACTTCATTACATTTATTTCACATTTCAACTGCCAAGTCTCCTAAACATTCTTGTGGATTAAGTGAAAAACAGTCAACACCACTAAAGCAGGATCATACTAAAACATGTTTATCCCCAGGAAGTTCTGAAATGTCCTTACAGCCTGATCTTGTTCGCTATGATAATACAGAATCTGAATTCTTACCAGAAAGTTCAAGTGTAAAATCTTCTAAGCATAAAGAAAAAAATAAACACCAGAAAGATTTCCACTTAGAAATTGGTGAAAAATCAAACACCAAAATAAAAGATGATGATCATAGTCCAACATTTGAAAATTCAGATGGCACACTGAGAAAAATTGATAAAGAGGGGAAAACATTAAAAAAACATAAACTGAAACATAAGGAGAGAGATAAAGAAAAGCACAAAAAAGAAATAGAAGGTGAAAAGGAAAAATATAAAAATAAAGATGTTGCTAAAGAACTGCAGCGGAGTGTGGAATTTGATAGAGAATTTTGGAAAGAGAATTTTTTTAAAAGTGATGAGACTGAAGATCTCTTTTTTAATATGGAACATGAGTCCCTAACATTGGAAAAAAAATCAAAATTGGAAAAAAACATGAAAGATGATAAGTCAACTAAAGAAAAGCATGTCTCAAAAGAGAGGAACTTTAAAGAAGAACGGGAAAAGATTAAAAGGGAAAGTGAGAAATCTTTTAGGGAAGAAAAGATAAAAGACCTAAAAGAAGAAAGAGAGAATGTACCCACTGATAAAGAGCCAGAGCTCAGCTCTTTGGGTTTAAGTGTAAGTGAGGAATCTATAGGACTGCATTCAATGGAAAAGGAAATAGACATTGAAAAGCATACAAAAGAAAGTAGGGAAAAATCTGACAAACGATTGCAAACTAAAGAAAAAGAGGTTGAGAAGACCGAAAGAAAAAATTCTGAAAAAGAGAAGAAGATAAAACATGAACATAAGTCAGAAAAAGAGAAATTAGATTTTAGTGAATGTGCTGACAGAGTAAAAGAAAAGGACAAATTATATTTACATCAAACAGAAAAATGTCATAAGGAAGGTGAGAAGATAAAAAATACTGTTAAAAAAACTGATGACAGAGAGAAAAATAGAGAAAAGATGGATAGAAAACATGACAAAGAAAAACCTGAAAAAGAGAGGCATTTAGCAGAAAGCAAAGAAAAGCACTTGATGGAAAAAAAAAGTAAACAATCAGATAATAGTGAATATCCTAAATCAGAAAAGGGCAGAAATAAAGAAAAAGACAGAGAATTAGATAAGAAGGAAAAATCTAGAGATAAAGAAAGTGTAAATATAACTAACTCCAAACACTTACAGGAAGAAAAAAAGTCTAGTATAGTAGATAGTAGTAGTAAAACACAGCATGAAAAAACTTTATCCCTTAAAGAAAAGGCAAAAGATGAACCTTTGAAAACTCCAGATGGAAAAGAGAAAGATAAAAAAGATAAAGATATAGATAGATACAAAGAACGAGACAAACGTAAAGATAAAATCCAACTAAATACTTTACTCAAATTAAAATCTGAAGGAGATAAGCCTAAACTTAAGTCATCACCAACATCAAAAGACATTCGGCCTAAAGAAAAGAGGTTAGTGAATGATGACTTAATGCAAACAAGTTTTGAACGAATGCTAAGCCTTAAAGACCTAGAAATAGAACAGTGGCACAAAAAACATAAGGAAAAAATTAAGCAAAAAGAAAAGGAACGATTAAGAAACCGTAATTGTTTAGAACTTAAAGTAAAAGATAAGGAAAAATCAAAACATACAATAGCTGAATCCAAAAATAAAGAACTTGCTAGGTCAAAGAGTTCAGAGTTGACTGATGCTTATACTAAGGATAAACAATCTAAGGATGCTGTAAATAATAGATCACAGTCTGTCGACATCAAAAATGTAACATGTTTAGGGAAGTCAGCCTTCCTTTCAGATAATAGCTCAAACAGGTCTCCTAGATCAGAAAGTGAAAAGCCAGGTCTCAGCTCCAGATCTGTGTCCATGATTTCTGTTGCTAGTTCAGAAGATTCCTGCCATACTACGGTGACAACCCCAAGGCCTCTGGTTGAATATGACTCTGATTTTATGTTAGAGGGTTCAGAGTCTCAAATGTCATTTTCCCAGTCACCATTTTTGCCAATTGCCAAATCTCCAGCCTTTCATGAAAAGGAGCTGGACAGCCTGGCTGAACTACCAGAGCGGATTAAACCATCATATGCAAACAGACTTCCAGGATCCCATCTCAGGTCATCTTCTATAGAAGACGTTAGACTAGTTATTAACGAGGGGAGACCTACTGTAGAATTTCGAAGATGTAGCATGTCATCTGTCATTTGTGAACATACCAAACAATTCCAAACAGTATCAGAAGAAAGCAATCAAGGTAGCTTATTAGCAGTGCCAAGAGATACTTGTCCTTCTCCCAAGCCTGAGATGTCTTCAAGTATGCCTGAAAAAGACCTTTCAAATATGTCTAACATACATTCCAGTTTTGCAGTCTCCCCAACAAGATCTGCAAACAGCAAATATACTTCATCTGATATAAATGTAATCAAGAATACTGCTCCAGTGAGCACTTTAACAGACAGTGCTGTGCATGTAGAGCCATCTCATCAGGTTGGTGTTATCCAAAATAAATCATGGGAGATGCCTATGGATAGAATGGAGTCATTAAGCAGCAATGACTTTATCTGCCCAAATTCTAGTATGGTTGATCAAGACTCCTCTGTTCAGGGGTTTTGTAGTTCAGAAAACAAAATAATGAAAGAGCAGAATACTGATTTTTCATCCCTACACCAGACTGAACTGCCAGAAAACTCTTATGCTCAGGATCCAGCATCCTTTCTGCCTTTACAACAACCATGCTCTTTTTCCAACCAATCACTTTCAGATGCTGAATCTGCCTCTAAACCTATGTCTTTGTCATATATTGCCAACCAAGAGCCAAGTATCTTGCAACAGAAAAATGCAGTTGAACTGATGAGTTCTGTTTTAGATACCGATAATGACTCTACAAAAGATGTGGAAAATGCTTTTGTCCTAGCAGATGTTCAAAAGTCAGATAGTTTTGTCCCAGTATACTCTAAAAGTGTTATTCAAGAAGCATCACCACACTTTGAGAAGGTTAATACTTTGCCTGAATTAACATCAGAAAAGGATTCTAATGGCAGTGATGCCTCCTCCCAGCTAAATACACATTATGCATTTAGCAAACTAACTTACGAGTCTTCCAGTGGTCATGAGGTTGAGAAGAACACAACTGATACTCAGGTTATTTCACATGAAAAGGGAAATAAACTGCAGAGTTTAGTCTTAACTCATTTAAGTAAGTGTGATTCTGATTTATGTGAAATGAATGTAGGAATGCCAAAAGGAAATGAGCAAGATAATCCAAAACATTGCCCTGAAAGTGAAAAATACTTGCTTTCCATCGAAGATGAAGAATCTCAACAAAGCACTTTATCAAGTCTGGAAAACCACTCACAGCAGTTAGTTCAACCAGAAATGCAGAAATATGGTCAGTTAATTAAAGTAGAATTAGAAGAAAATGCTGAAGATGATAAAACTGAAAACCAAGTCCCTCAAAGAATGACTAGAAACAAAACAAGTACAATGGCAAATCAAAGCAAACAGATTCTTGCTAGCTGTACACTGTTATCAGAAAAGGACAGTGAATCTTCTCCTAGGGGAAGAATAAGATTAGCTGAAGAAGATGATCCTCAAATTCACCATCCACGGAAAAGGAAAGTGTCACGTGTGCCTCAGCCTGTGCAAGTGAGTCCCTCTTTACTACAAGCAAAAGAGAAAACTCAACAGTCTCTGGCAGCCATTGTAGATTCTCTGAAACTAGATGAGATTGAACCATATAGTTCAGAGAGAGCAAACCCATATTTTGAATACTTGCACATAAGGAAGAAAATAGAAGAAAAGCGCAAATTATTGTGTAGTGTTATTCCTCAAGCACCTCAGTATTATGATGAATATGTAACATTTAATGGATCATATCTCCTGGATGGAAACCCCCTAAGCAAGATTTGTATTCCCACAGTAAGTAACATTGTCATTTTGAGTGTTTCAAACACAGCTGCAGCACTGTTCAGTAGAAGTGTAATGCAGGGTTTGGGGGTGTAGTTCATTCTGAGTCCATTTGTCTAGCAAGGCCCTGGGCTCAATCCCTAGCACTACAGAAAGGAAAAAAGTGTAATGCAAGTCACATAATGTAATTTGAAATTTTCTAGTAGTCAACATTTTTTAAAGTAGAAACAAAAAGGAAAACCAATATAATATTTTGTGTAACTCAGTGTATCAAAATATATTTAAACATATAATCAATATAGAAAAATTATTTACGAGCTATTTTCCCTTCTTTTTTCTACTGAATCTTTGAAATCTAGCATGTGGGTTAATGGCTTTCTTACTAGCACCAGTGTACTGTATTTTCTTTTCCTTACCTGCTTTTTTTTTGTTTGTTTCAAAAAAGAAGTGCTTTGATTTATTTGAAGGTTAATGCCTCTACATACACTTTTTTTTTTTTTTTTGAAACAGAGTCTTGATATATCCCAGGGTGGTCTGGAACTTATTATGTAGCCCATGCTGGCCTCAAACTCAAAGTTTTCATGCCTCAGTTTCTGAGTGCTGGAATTACAGACATGTACCACCACGCCCTGCCTTATATATGCTTTTGATCCCACTCATTCTAGTCTCTCTGGAATTTTCCTCTATTAAAAAAAGTCATTCTTGCCAGCTTATTTTTTTCAGTTTCCCCTCTCCATTGGCCTTCACTCATCCACTCAGAATATATTTGGTTCTCCTCTGTCTTGGAGAAAAGAAGTTCTCTTGACTTTTCCGGCTCACTAAGCTCTCTCCCGTCTCCTTCACTGCTATACTTATGCAGAGTAGTCTGTATGTGACATTTTTTTCCACCTCATCTCCTTCTCATTCCTTAGCTTTATGTACTGGCAGAGATCACCAGTGAGCTCACAGTTGTCAAAATTATTGACCTCTCTTTATTGTTCCATATGATCAGTCAAATTCAAACATTATTGTCCTCTTATTCTTCATAAAATCGTCCTCTCGCTGGCCTTTGATGATGGTGCTTTCTTCTAATTCTTTACCTCACTGGCTGGTCTTTTCCTGTCTCCTATAATGACTTCTCTTCTCTGCCTGGCCTTTAAACATGAGTTCTCTAGCTACCCGTTCTTTGTTCTATGTGCACTCCAAATGTGGAAATTATCTATTTCTTTGGGTTCAGCATTCTTCCAGGTATTGTGTAATCCTCACAAAAGTTCTTACTTGGCCAAATCATTTCTGTTGACTTCCAGAATCAAACATAGGTGCCTTCTGGGCGTAATTGCTTACATATCCTTCAGATATCTAGGTTGGGTTCCCCAGGAAGCAAGCTCTGAATGGTGTGCAAGAGGCTTACCAGTGAATCTGTCAGGAATAAGTAAGTTTGTGAGGGACACAGAATTGGGCAGAATGAGAAGCTAAACTAAAATGGAGTTGCAACAGTGATCTCAAGTGGAACCCATAGAAGCTCTGGAATGTGATGACCTGTCTTACGGGTGGCATGCCCCAAGGGAGGGAACATACCCTTGGGCATGCCAGCACTTTTCCCTGGAAGGTAATTCTAGAAGAGGGACTCCAGCACTTCCAGGAGCTAGGGATGAGTGCCTTATTCTTGCACAAGACCTTTAAGCTGAACATGTGCCAGAAGGGTTTCTCACTTCTTTCATCCTCAATAACAAATCCTATTCATTAATGTTGACACCACTAAGTTCTGACCATTCTACCTTAGAACTTTTAAAATATCTACCTTCTACTGCTGCTTTGGTTTAGGGCCAAAATCTCTCACTGAGATCATTGTAACGACTTTCTCTTTTTTTTCCTTTTGGTTTCTTTCTGCTGGAGCTTTTTCTCTTGCTTTAAATTTCATTTGTTTATTTAAGGCAGTGTCTCACAATGTAGTAACTCAGACTGACCTCAAACTCAAGATCCTCCTGCCTTGGCTTCCCTAGTGCTGGGATTACAGGTAATAGACCACCACCCTGGCAATTTCTTTTCCTTTTAAACAATAGAAAACCATTTCTTTATTCAAATATCAAGGTATTTAAATAGGTAACTGAGTAGTTGCCTTCCCGTAGCCTACAGATTAAAGTCTTAAGTTTTTAAGTATGGCAGAATTCTACATTTCATAGTCTGACCCTACTCTGCCTCTCTAGCTTCATTTTCTCACTACTTCTTGCAGACTAATCCAGCATTTCACCTGGATTCACGCCTATACAGGAATTTCTGGTTCCATGTTTTTAATACCTGGCAGTGCTGTCCTCTCCCCAAAGTATTCTGTCACCCAGCCCTCAATGCATTTCCATACCTTGGTTCTCTACCTTTAAGCTATAATCTCATTAAGGGATGGGATACTGTCTTCTTAAAGAATGAGTCCCAAATTTTTCTTTAGCCCTGAATATACCACTGAGGCCCATAACTGTTTACCACAGATCCATAGAATCATTGTGTCCAATACAAAACCCATTTGTCTTTTCTCAGAGGGCTTTTTATCCTTTATACTTTAGTTGCTATCATGATCTTTCCAATTTCCTAGACAGGGAACCCAGATTCATCTTTAATCTCTTCCTCTCTATCCTCCCATCAACTCAAATTGGTCCCTGAGTCATATTGAATCACCTCACCTCCTTTCCTCTTTTTATTATAATATACTGGCATATACTAATTAAGTTGTACATAGTAAGAGGTTTCATCATGATATTTCTATACATGCATGTAACATACTTTGATCATAATCACTCCCTTTCTCCTTTTTTTTTTTTCATGGTACTGGAATTTAAACTTAGGACCTCATGCTTACAAAGCAGGCACTCAACCACTTAAATTGTGCCCCCAGCCATCTTTGCTTCAATTATTTTTCAGATAGTGTCTCACTTTTTTTTTTCTTTTTTTTTTTGCTGCAGCCTATCTGAAGAGCAGTCCTTCTACCTTTGCCTCCAGCATAGCCTAAATGAGAGGCACCATGCCTGGCTTTTTTGTTAAGAGGGTGTCACTAACATTTTGCTTGGGCTGGCCTGGAACTGCCTCCCCAATTAATTGGAGTGATAGGAGTGAGTCACCCTTCCTGGTCTCCTGTTTTTGTTTGTTGTGTTTGGTGGTAGTTTTGAACTCAAGACCTTGTCTTTGCTAGGCAGGTGCTCTGTCATTTAAATCATACCCTTTTTGCTTTAGGTAGGCTCTCACTTTACACCTGGGCCAGCCTGGGCCATGATCCTCCTATTTGTACTTCTCACATAGCTGGGGTGACAGGTGCACAACACCACACCCAGATTTTTATTGGTTGACATGGAGTTTCTGTGAGCCTTTTCATCTGGGCTGGCCTCAAACAATAATCTGCCCGATCTCTACCTCCCAAGTAGCTAGGATTAACAGGCATGAGCCACTGTATCCAGCCACCCCATTATTATTCTCTGCCATGCAAAGATTTTATTAATTCCTTCAACTGGTTACTCAGATATGTGAATATTGCATATTCGAATATCCATCATATTGCACGTGCAAATAATTCATAACTCTACTGAGCACTGCACTAAAATCTAGATATCAGAGATGAGCAAAACAGACACTAATTTTCTGCCATAGCTCCCTGATTCATGTCTAATCTCATCTCAATCTAGTCTTTTTTATGGTCTAGATTCATTATAAAACAATCTGATCATGTGACTACCAGGAGAAACATCTTGAGAAACTCCCAGTTTTCTGTAGACTGAAGTCCCAATTCTTTATTGTCACATATAAGATCCTTACTATACCCTTCTAGATTTGACCCTAGTTACCCTGGTGTACACAAAAAAAGGGCTATTCTCAGACATCCCTGGCTTTATGTGTTGTTTGTATCATGTGTTTGCAGATGTTCCATTTTTCAATGCCCAGTTTAGAAAAGATCAGAAAGTCAGAAGAAAGCTGGCTTTATAGTCCCACATCCACAGAGTGTACCTGACTCTAGTGCCTTTTAAATATTAAGAGACCAATTCAGATGGCAGTAGTTGTAGACTAAACTTCATGAGTTGTGAATAAGTTTGTCATTGATATTCTTTCAGTCAAAGCATGCATTAATGATTCAAAGAATATCAAGCTAGTAACTTTTTTGTTTCTTTTATTGCTGTATTTTATCCTTAACGGGTAAGAAATTTTAGCTGAAATAATGTATATCATAGCCTTGAATTATGGATATAACTATAAAGTACACATTTAAATTAGAATTTCGAACAAACTAAAAACAATGTCAAATAAACCATGTTAGGTTGCCTTCTTTATGCAGGCTGTCTTTTGACCAGGGAGAAAGAGAGTATAAGAATGAATAAAATATGTTACAGTGTGTACTATCGTTTTATTCATGGAAAAGTGATATGAAACAAGTTCAATTTCCTTGAAGCAATTCTGGGGAAGTATCTATGATTATATTAAATTTAAGTAAATCAAATATTGGTTCAAAAGAGGCTATAAGCAAAACTAAGTAATTGAATGTGGTGTGGAGTTTTGGGGTTTTTTTTAACAGGAATTATTAGAGAAATATAGCACCATATATTGGAAAGAGAGATTTCCAATTAGCATACATGAATTAAAGTCTAGATTTTGTTACACAGCAGCTTTGTGATTTTGAATGATTCACTTCTCTGGTACTTAGCTTCCACACTTGTAAAGCAAGAATGCTGTCTACCCTGTCCCCAAAACAGGTTGAAATACTACATGCCAAACCCCATTAGCAAGTTTAAAACAGTGTGCAGACATAAGGGCTACCATTATAGTATCTAGTTCTAAGTGATTTTTAAGGATCCTATTTACTAAGGCTAATAGGTGAACTCCAACTTGCTGCTCATAAAAAACTGTACTTTTGAGTTTAGTGGTCTGAAACTCACTTGTTCAAAGTTTGGTTTGAAAAAATAATAAAACTCATAACAAAAATCACTACTAGCACATTTTTCATACTTAGCAGTTTTGTTTTATCCATTTGTTTTCTCCCAGCCAATAAATTGCTCTTTTATCAAAATAACTTTCACACTCATGTTTGTTGCAAAACCTATTGAAACCATAGTAAAACATCCCTAAAGTCAGCTGTGGGTAAATGCTTTCCTCACAACTTAACCAGAATGCTACCATCTTTTCCAGAGGAAAACCAAAAAAACTGCAGATCAAATTGCCTAAATCAAATGAACAGGGACAAAAAAAAGATACCACAATTTGGGATGTACTGTGGTCACTGGCAACAACACACTTTACAGAAACCCTACAGACATGTTCTAAGAGTGGTTGATAAGAAGAAAGTATATATACCCCTAAGAATCCACCAAGAAAATAATTATTTCCAAGGCTACTAGGACTCTGATATTGAAAGATAAAATCTGTTAAAGGTAGATAAGCAAAACAGCAAAAGGAAAGCTTCCTCAGAAAGTCTGCATAGATTCCTTTGATTTTAACTTCCCTCTATATGTGATCTATATTAATTTCTAGATTTGTATATTCTTCCCAAACCTCTTCTTGGCTTCTGTTTTTGCTGAGTGTGTAGCTCTACCTGCATGTGCCCTAAGCTTCACAAACTCAGGTGTCAGCACTGGACTGAATTTACCCAAACCTGCTTCTCTTTTTTCCCCTGTGCTCTGTGTCTCTATTAGAAGCCTCCTGTTCTCACACTGAAAATATGTGAATCTCCTCAACTATTCACTCCTTTTTATCCCTTGTATTCAGTCAGTCACCAGTACTTTTAAACCCCATCTTCTCCACCCTGTCATCCACTTACACCAATATAACAGTAATTACCTTCCTTAATTCTTGGCCTCAGTCTTATCCCATTTGTATCTGTTTTCCAGATACAGCAGTAAGCTATAAGACCTTTCAGTAGTTCTCCATTACATATAAAATCTGTCCTGTTGTGTTCTACATAATTCCATAGCATGTAATAAATACCTTCTGTGTGGATTGGGGGAGAGATTTCATGGTCAAAAAGTTTGGAGAACGCACTGTTATTCTTAAATTGAGTAGGTTGTTTCACTTCAGAACTTCCTAGAACCTATAATGTGTTGTGCGACCCCTAAGCAAATGTATACAAATACACAGTATATAATGTTTCCCAAAATTATTCCAGGGACCATTTCTTGGAGGTTATCTTGATGGGAACATGTTCTGTGAGACATATGCTTTAAGAAAAGCTGATTAACAGAATAAACTAACCTTCATGCCTTTCACCAAATTTAACACTCACGAACTCTAGATTGCCTGCAGTTACCCACACATACCATCCTATTTCTTTGTTTCATACCTTTGATAACTCATCCTCTTTTCTAGAGACACTTACCTCCCTTCTTTTCCTTTGTTCTCCACGACAGCTTATTTCTCTAATTTTACTTTGCTCTTTCTTTAAGATGCAGCTCAGACATTGCCCTCTCACAGAAGCTTGCTCTGGCACCCCAATCTTAGATGAGTAGATTTTCTTCCTCTGTGCTCCTCAAGGTAACTAGAATAAAATTAAAACAATGGCATCTCTGGGCATGGTGATACATGCCTGTAATCCTACCTTCTCGGGAGGCAGAGGTCAGGAAGATTGCAATTTGAGACCAGCCCAGGCAAAAAGTCAGTAAGACCCCATCTCAACAATAATTTGGTATAGTGGTGTGCACCTGTTGTCCAAGCTAAGCAGAAAGACTAACTAGGATCACAGTCCAGGCTGATCCTGAGCAAAAATCAGTGAGACCCTATTCCAAAAATTACTAAAAGCAAAAAGGGGCTCATGCCTGTAATCCTAGCTAGTTGGGAGGCACAGATCAGGAGGATCGTGGTTTGAAGCTAGTCCAAGCAAATAATTTGTGAGACCCTATCTCGAAAATACCCAACACACAAAAAAGGACTGGTAAAGTGGTTCAAGTGGTAGAGCACCTGCCTAGCAAGCACAAGGCCTTGAATTCCAAACTCCAGTACTTCCCCCCCCCCAGCCCCGCAAAAAAAATGGCAATAGTAGCACCAAACTCTTTAAGTAGCTCTTGCTATTAAAAGCAGTTCACAGGATATAAATCAATCTATTATTGCAATTTAAAAATTCTCATCCCCAATAAGTTAGTCTGTAGAATTTGAATGATTGAGTCTTTGTGATGTTATCTAACGTTTTTTTGGTTCCCCATATTCCTGTTTGCTAGTTACAAAGTCTTAGTAAATCCAGGTTTGGTTCTTTGATAAGAGCTTTTCATATACAGTGTCCTGTAGTTCCTATGGTACCACATCATTAAGCAGATAATAAGTGGTTGTCCCACTTCCTAATAGAGTTGACAGTTAGCTTACTTTTCCCAGTACACTGATGGTAATCATATAAACAAGGGTAAGGTAATAGCAGGGTAGGGAGATTTCAGTGTCACAGATGGTTGTTGCCATACTTGCATGTCTCTTTACATTATCAGTACAATACATGCAAAGATTGAGTCAACTTCCTTCACCTCTAGCATCTACCAGAAAGCACAATCCACTATAATACCAAGTTAGAAATGAATCATTAAATTTTTAATTATGGTAGAAAAGTGATATGAGATATCACATTTAATAAATTTGCAAACAACAAATTCATTAGACCATTTCACCTACTTTTATGTGAGATATTTCACTAAATGGAACACTAGGACTTTTATTGTTTGATTTTTATCATGTCTACAAAGAGTCTTATTAGGCTTATTGGACTGCTATAATCCTTAGGAGTGTTTCCTCTGTTTTTATACCAGCTTTTCTGTTGATGTGATCGCTCTCTCTCTCTCTCTCCCTGTGAGCTATAACCTACTGTTCTAAAATATCTGTCTGTAGTAAATAACTTTCTTAGTCCTTCTAATACTATGAAATTTACTGTAGCCTCAGAATCCAAACACCTAAGCATGCTAGAATGCTCTGCTATGTTTCAGACAATTGGAATTGGCTGAGAAGTAACAACCAATTGTATAATTGGTTCTTGTATTAGACTTCCTAGTGTGACAGACACCTGAGAAAAACAATTTAAAAGGAGGAAGGATTTATTTTGGCTCAAGAATTTGGAGGTTTCAGTTCAAGCTTGGCTGGATCAAGTCCTTTGGGCTTAAGGCAAGGCAGGATATCATGGCAGTGTGAATGTGTGACAGAGGCTTCTCACTTTATGGCCACCAGGCAGAAGAGGGGAAGACAGGAAGGCCTAGGACAAGATACACCCATAAAAGACGTGCTTCTTTATCCCACTTCTAGCAGCCCACTTCCAGCTAGGCCTCACCTTCCACAGTTCTACCACATCTCAGTAGTCTATTCAGATTTTGAATGGGTCGAACCATTGGTTAGGTCAGATCCCTCATGATCTGTTTGTCTCTACAAACACTCTTATACACAACACCCACAGGTGTCCTTTATTAATCTAGTCATTTTGCAATCCAATAAAAGTAAACCACCACAATACTGTATTATTTAATCCATGGAACATCAGAATTTGTTACATGCTAAAAGTTTAAAAGAATAACCTATTATTCTAGGGGGGAAGTAATACAGAGATAAGAGGATGTCAATTTAGCCAAAAGTTAGCAAGGCACTATCTCAGAAATAAGCCAGACGTGATGGTGTAAGCCCAAAATCCCAGCTACTGGAATGCTGAGGTAGGAAGATGTTAGTCTGAGGTTGGCCTGGTCAAACATGCGATACCTTAATTGAAAAACAAACTTTAGTTTTTTTGCTTTTAAGCAAAATGACTGAGGCATTGCTCAAGTGGTAGATTGCTGTTTGAGGCCCTAAGTTCAAACCCCGGTACCACAAAAAAAAAACCCTATTACTATAAATAAATCCAAATATTTAACCATGTATGTTTTCTAATTAGATTACACCACCACCTTCACTGTCAGATCCACTTAAAGAGCTTTTTCGGCAACAGGAAGTTGTAAGGATGAAGCTACGTTTGCAACACAGTATTGAAAGGGTAAGATGCATTTAAATATATATTTACCTGTACAATAAAATGGCCTACAGGTTTTCACCAGTGGATTTTCCTTACTTAGAGTCATTTTGAGAAATATTTTGATTTTGTTGCCTTGTGCTTATTCAGTTAAAAGGAGAGTTTTTATACCTATTTTAGGATTGTTGCTATTGTCTTACAATTCATGTTGGAATAATATATAGATAGATATCTATGTATATATATCTGTATATATTGTGGGACTGGGACTTGTACTTAGGGTCTTGTGCTTGCTAAGATACATTTTTTGTAATTTATCATCATTTGTTTAATTTGCAGAACTAGAGAAATAGAGTCCTAGTAGGACCCTCAGATTTCCAAAATGGCTGCTTAACGCACCAACTGCTTCAGAGTTGATGTGCAAAGACTATTTGTTCTTACAGTTCTACCTTAGTATCTGATTTTCAGTCTTGGCATGCAATGACAAGGAAAAAAAACTATCTAGTTTTTTATAGAAATCACGAAAATTATTTCGCTTGAATTTACAAAAGTTTAACACCTTAATCTTGTAGGAGGGTTTGAAGGATTCTGGAAGTATAATGTAAGCTGTGATCCTTCATTACAGAAACATGCCTATTTTTATCTTTGATTTTTTACACTGTTGGTCCCCAGAGCAGAGACTTACCTTTTCTTATACAGTAATCCTCTGTAACGATCTGGGAAATTTGAAAACTTTTTAGAATAATGTTTTTAAATGAATGAAGTAAAATTCATAAGATTATAAAGAGAAGCAACAAATAAGAAAAAGAAGCACTGGTCATTGTCAGTGAGCAGTTTGTTAGCAGTAAACAGTAAGGTTATATAAACACGTCGATAGTTCTTTCAGCCATCACACACACACATTTGAAGCCACCTGGTAATAATACTCATCTACACTGTAGTCCAGGTTACTGAAGACCTTGCCACCCTAGAGACAATTAAGAAGTCTCACTTGAACTATTCAACATGCAGAACTTTTAACAGAGAACAAAATAACACCACCTTCCTCATATATTTACAAATAATTTAGAGTTACACACACTAGGAAGCATCTTAAATGTCTGGCCAGTATAAGAATAAACAGCTTTAACGTTTGGTGGCTGAATAACTACTAACTGCAGAATTGCTTAGTACCTAGCAAATAGCAGTAACCTAATACTATGGAAGATACATTCCAAGACATCCAGTGGAGCCTGAAACCACAGATATTGCCACCTCCTATATATAGTTTTTCCCTATACATACACACCCCTGGCAAAGTTTAATTGATAAATTAGGTGCAGTAAGAGATTAACAATAATAGCTAATAATAAAATGGACGGTTATAACAATAGACTATAATAAAAATTACGTAAATTTGATCTCTCTCCTCAAATGACTTACTGTGCTGTATATACACTGTGGCCATATTTTGCAGTTTGAGATGGCAAAGCAAAGCTAGCAAGAAAAATTTGTTTTTACTTCAAAATTTCACTGATAGAAGATTTACTGTTACTTTAGATCATAGCAACCTCAGCATATGATTTCTTGTGAGTCAAGAACTTACCATGTTTTCACTTCCTGGAGTCTCTGGCTTATCCAAATTGTCAGCATCACTACCCTTGAACTTTGGGGCCATTACTAAGTAAAATTAGGGCTACTTAAAACACAAACACTGTGATATCATGACATCATGATAACCAACAAGGCTACTGAGCTACTAATAAGTGAGTAGTCTATACAGTGTATATGCTGAGCAAAGGAATGACTCATGACCCAAGAGGAACAGAGCAAGATGATAGAGGTTCATCATGCTACTCAGAATGGCACACAATTAAAAATTTATGAATTGTTTATTTCTGGATTTTTCCATTTAATATTTTCAGACCATAGGTAACTAAAACTATGGAAAATAACTTCAAAGGGAGGGGGGAAGAGAGAATACTGCAACTGCTGAAATTTTGAAGAAGAAATTAGTGTAAAAATTTGGGAGAACATTTCTAACAGCTGTGATATAAGTTGAAAATATCATATCCATTCTGTGGATGATTTGGTGGCAGGTAGTTCTGATTTTATATAATTTGTGGATTGCATTCATAAAGAAATGCTAACTGGACGTTAGTAAAAATATAGGCAGTCTTTTGAATCCAAGTTCACAATCCACCCCTGCCCCATACATTGGCCTCTTTGGAGTATGAGGACCCTAAGTAAAGAACTTTTGTTCTAGTCACTTTCCCTTCAGAAAATACAGTGCAGATACTATACTAAATGAATGAACAAGGCTTGTAGCCAGAGCCCTGGCCTCTTTCCTCAGAACTTCTCCCTTCTCAAAAACTTCAGCACACCCATAACTTGTTTGAGGGTTAACTCAAATAGCACACCCATAACTGTTTGAGAGGGGTTCAAAGACACAAAGTTGAGACTGATGTATAATGAGATAGTTGGACTATCAATTAAGCAACATATCTCTATTATTTAGGAAAGAAGGAGTTTAACTTTAGAAAATATATTTCTTTTGGAAGGAAATACATTTCTCATACGGTGTTTGCTTTTGAGGTATTATGGTTATTGCTTTTAATTTCTGTAGGACTTCAACCAGTTTATTTTGTTTTGTGTTTTGTTTTATGGTGCTAGGGATCGAAACCAGGACCTTATACATGATAGGAAATACTCTACCACTAAGCTATATACCTGAGTATATAGCTTATATATACCCTCAACCAAGTTTTTTAGACAGTAACTCCTAGCTATTTTTTTCTTACTATCAGATCAAATTTTTAGATATTTATTACTTGAAATTATACTTTAAACTTAAATTAATAAATTATAAACAGACAGCACTTTTTTAGTGTTGTCACATAATAATTAGTTACTGTCATATTTCTTTGTCTTTTCACTAAATTCTAAATACAGTAAAACTCTACAATAATGCACATAGTTGTATAATGGCCTGCATTCTCCAGTGAAAGAACTCTTAAAGTTCTTGTCATTTGAGGACAGAATTTTGAGCATGGTAGTAAAGAAAAGACAAAAATGTTATCATTTGCTGGTAAATGGATGGAATTGGAGAACATCATTCTGAGTGAGGTTAGCCTGGCCCAAAAGACCAAAAATCGTATGTTCTCCCTCATATGTGGACATTAGATCAAGGGCAAACACAACAAGGGGATTGGACTTTGAGCACATGATAAAAGCGAGAGCACACAAGGGAAGGGTGAGGATAGGTAAGACACCTAAAAAATTAGCTAGCATTTGTTGCCCTCAATGCAGAGAAACTAAAGCAGATACCTTAAAAGCAACTGAGGCCAATAGGAGAAGGGGACCAGGAACTAGAGAAAAGGTTAGATCAAAAAGAATTAAGCTAGAAGGTAACACACATGCACAGGAAATTAATGTGAGTCAACTCCCTGTATAGCTATTCTTATCTCAACCAGCAAAAACCCTTGTTCCTTCCAATTATTGCTTATACTCTCTCTTCAACAAAATTAGAGATAAGGGCAAAATAGTTTCTGCTGGGTATGGATGGGGTGGGGAAGAGGGAGTGGGCGGAATGGGTGGTAAGGGATGGGGTAGGGGCAGGGGGGAGAAATGACCCAAGCATTGTATGCACATACGAATAATAAAACAATAAAAATTAAAAAAAAAAAAGTCAAAACATATCCTTTATATTCTCCCAGTCCAGCCTCCCAGTGAATGACAACAAAATTAGGAATGTCATATACCTGGGGAGTTCCTGGAGTCACTACTCTGTCCTTGGCATCCTCATCAGCCACAGGTTTCCCCATTGATATTTAAGCCCAAAATAGTTAGCACCAAGTTTATAGCAAGGATCAGGAGGGGTTGAGATTTGCAACTGGGTCTCTGGAATTTCCACTCTGCTAAATGCAGAAGATTGCTCATCGCATTTCAAAAATGTAGGACTCTGCCTATTATGTAACTGGGAGTTTTGGACCCCACTTAATTCATTAAAGCAGGGTATGTTTATTTCCGTGATAGTATTCAACATAAAAGAGAGTTGGCATCACAAGAGGATACAACTTTACCTCTGCCAAAAAGACACAATGACAAGTGTTGAGAAGGGTTTAGGGAAATTTGAATCCTCATTCATTACTTGTGGAAACGTAAAATGATACAGTCTGCTGTGGAAAATAGTTTGTTCCTCAACAAGTTAAACAGACTCTACAACCAGCAATTCCACTCTAGTTATGTACCCAAGAGAAATGAAAACATATGTTCAAACAAAAACTTAACTGTGAATGTTCATAACAGCATTTTTTTATAATAGCCTCAAAAGATAACCTGTAAAGGAAACAAATTTACGTCTGCTCTCTGAGGTCTTCTGCCTGGGCCTGAGAATTAAATTGACATGGGTAGATTAACGAGAAAAAAAGCATACAGATGTGTGCTTTTTAAGTTTTTCGTGATCCAGGAGCCCTATTAAGAAAATGAAAACTCAAAGAAGTGGTGAAATATAAATGCTTTTATGTTAGGTTGGACAAAGAAAGGAAATAATGCAAAAGACACTAAAGAAAGCTAAAAGAAGATAAAAGTTATTTTAGCAAGGTCTGTTTGCAGAGTTGATTCCCCATCTCTGGTGATAAGGATGTTTTTCTCATGTATGGAGAGGACATCTTTTAAATGGCAGTAATATCTCCTACATTCAGGAAAGAAGAGGGAGGTCAGGATGCTCTTGCACTTGCTTGTTTTTCAAGTGACTTCAGCTCAAAATAACCCTATGCCAAAGTGGCATGTTCTGCCACCCCAAACCCAAATGATTGACTAATGTATCGGGCAAATGTTATTTGTCCATAGACAGGAATGAAGTACCTAGTATATGCTGCAGTATGGACAGAGGTTGAAAATATGCTAAGTGAAACTAACCAGTCACAAAAAGACCACATATTATATGACTTTCTTCATGTTAAATGTCAGAATAGGTATATCAAAAAGTACTCTGTGAAGCAAAAGCTACTCCGAGGCTAAGATTATTTAGCACATCTTAAGTGATTTTATCTTATTTCAAAAACAAGTCATTGAAGAATTGATTTGTTAATTCTTTTTCAACCAGGAAAAACTTATTGTATCCAATGAACAGGAAGTTCTACGAGTTCATTACAGAGCTGCAAGAACATTGGCAAATCAAACACTGCCATTTAGTGCTTGTACTGTCTTACTGGATGCGGAAGTATACAATGTGCCGTTGGACTCACAGGTAAAGTGCTTGTTGATACATACAAAATGCTTTCAAGTAATACAATGCGGTTGGTTTTAGAATCAATTTCCATAGAAGAATGTTAAACAATCATTAAAACTCAGGAGAAATACAATTCTTAAATGAAATTACTTCCAGAGAAGCTGGTCCTCTAGATAATCATAATACACACACATATATTTAGGATAGTGCCCTCACAGATAACTACAATTTGACATTGTTTCTAATGTAGATGTTTATTATATGGTTAGTTGTGACCTTCAACTAGCTGGAAAGCTATTGTACATGAAAAACAGTATAGACAGGTGGAACAGCAGGTATAACAGAGCTCAGACAGGACCAGTTTCCCATTTTGGTCCTTGAATGTTGATGTTGGTGGAATGAAATAAACTGGAAAATTGGAAGTGTATCTTTAATAAAGTTTATTGCCACATACAAATTATGTGAACTTAGAATCAGCTATATCAGTTTTTATAACTTTTTGTGCCTCATAAACCAGAAAGAAACTCATCGATGAAAAGAGAAAAAGGTACAACTAAAATTTTAAAATACAATCAGTGAAAGATTGTCACCCAAAAGCAGACTGTGAAATGCTATTTTAAAACAAACTAACAATATAAAGGTTATAGGGGATAGTCCAGAGAAAGATACAAAGTCCTCTTTGGACCATATTTTTCTCATCTATATGGAAAAGAAATTGAACTAGATCAGTAGATTTCAGCTTTGAACTACTAACTTTTATTTCATCTGAAAGTGTTGGGGTTTTCTGAACAGACTATTATATAATTAGTTCTTAAGAAAAGTATTTGACTTTAGGAAATACAGGTGAAAACATACAGTGGTGATACAGAGCAGAGTGGGGAATGCTTAGCCTCATATGAGATTAAGGGAGAACTTTAAAAAAAAAAAAAAGTAGTTTGGAGCTGGAGATGTAACTCAGTGGTAGAGCTCTTGCCCAACATGCACAGGCCCTGGGTCTAATCCCCAGTACTGCAAAAAGAAAAGGAATTTAAAAAAAAAAAGTTTTCCTGGTTAAACTGAGAATGATCCCAAAATCAGAGATGAAACAGGTTGGAAACAATTGATCTAATAATTAAAGGACTGGAAAACAATCATCCTCTTGGGCTGGGGGTATGGCTCAAGAGATAGAATGTCTTCTTAGCAAGTGTGATGCCCTGAGTTCAAACCCCAGTACCACCAAAGAAGAAAAAGAGTAACCATCCTCTTAAGGAAAAATGTTTTTCACATTAAGCTGAGAAATTATTGCTTTAGACTACTTTTACTTTTCTTGGATTTCTACCTGACTTTCTTTATTCTCTCCTTTTAAGAGGGGTTTTAATAATTTATTTATTAGACCTTGCCCCACATTTCCTGATTTAAAATCAGATCACCTGATTTTAAATTAAGCTTGATGAAATAGCAAAATGAGACTTATTCTCCTGACAGGAAAATTTATTCTAAAAGCAATTCTGAATTTTTAGGCTTAATTAAATACAGAACACCATGGCTTTAGAGCAGATCTGAGTTGCAGGCTTACTTCTTGTGAGAACAATCTCTGAGGAACTAAGGCAGGAAAGTCGGCCCTGGACTTAGATCATCCACTTTCCTACTCTCCTATCATACTTCCTCCTTTTCAAACTAAACTTGTAATATTAAAAAAGATTCAACAATAAAATTTTAAAGTAGACAAAATACTTTCCTTGGGGATCAAAGAGGAAGTAATGATTGCTAAGAATATGAGTAGTGTGACTATGGATTTCTGGTGCCCAGATGTCATGACAGTGTTGGTAAACGGGAGTAATAATAGTGCTTGGAGTGATTGATTGAGTGTTCCCTACGCACCAGCATTGTGGTGAGGGCTTTGGGACACTCTTTCAAAGCAAGCTGAGAAGTGTGTATTAGTTCAAGATTACACAGAAAGGTACAGAACAGAAACTTAAGTGTAGCCTGTCTTAATTCCAAAACAGATATACTTGAAGAGTTGGTACAGAATTTCTTTATTAGCACTCCAAAAGATTGGTTCTAAAGAAATGTGAAGTACAAAGGCAACTGTCTCTCGCCTTTTTCTCCCCTACATATGGTAAATTTTTAACATTAAAATTCTGAAGTCAGTTATCCTTTAATAAGGATGTCACAGATTGGGCACTGATGGCTCACAGCTCACGCCTATAATCCTACCTACTTGGGAGGCTGAAATCAGGAGAATCACAGTTTGAGGCCAGCCCTGACCCCTGTCTCCAAATAACCAGAGCAAAATGGACTACACGTATGGCTCAAGCACTAGAGTGCCTTCTTTGTAAGCATGAAGCCCTGAGTATAAACCCAAGTCCTGCGGGGGGCGGGGGTGGGGAATGCTGTCACAGGCACATAATTCATATGACATGCCTTTTTAAGAATCATGTTTAACTTGAAGAGCAATAGGTTTCTGTTTAGTAACTATGAACCTCATCCTCTGCCCACTTTCCCTACTCCTATTCAACATAGTCCTGGAATTCCTAGCCATAGCAATAACTCAAGAAGAAGAAATAAAAGGAATACAAATAGGTAAAGAAATAGTCAAAGTATCTCTATTTGCAGATGAGCCTATACCTCAAAGACCCAAAAAACTCTACCTAAAAACTTCTAGACACCATAAATAGCTTCAGCAATATAGCAGAATATAAAATCAACTTAGAAACATCAGTAGCCTTTCTAGTGAACAAATTGAGAAAAAATATAGGAAAACAATTCCATTTACAGTAGCCTCAAAAAAAAAAAAAAAACCTAGGAATAAATTTAACAAAGGATGTGAATGACCTCTACAAGGAGAACTACAAACCACTGAAGAAAGAGATGCTCATGGATTGGCAGAATCAACACAGTAAAAATTGCTCTACTACCAAAAGCAATCTATATGTTCAACATAATTCCCATCAAAATCCCAACGACATTCATCACAGAAATTGAAAAATCTACCCTAAAGTTCTTTTGGAAACACAAGAGACAGTGAATAGCCAAGACAGTACTGAGCAAAAAGCAATGTTAGAGGCATCACAATACCCGACTTCAAACTATATTACAGAGCAATAGCAATAAAAACAGCATGGTACTGGCACAAAAAGAGATGTGAAGACCAGTGGAATAGAATAGAGGACCTGGATATGAATCCACACAGCTATACCCACCTTATTTTTCACAAAGGCACCAAAAAACATACCTGTCTGCAGAAAACAAACTAGATCCATATATTTATCACCCTGTACTAGTATCAACTCAAAGTGGATTAAAGACCTTAATATCAGACCCGAAACCTTGCAGGAAAAGGTAGGGAACACTCTGGAAGCAAGGACTTCCTCAGTAGAACTCCAGCAGCCCACCAACTAAGAGAAAGGATAGACAAATGGGACTACATGAAATTTAAAAGCTTCTACACAACAAAAGAAATGATGTCTAAATTGAAGAGACCACCCACAAAGTGGGAGAAAATAGTTGCTAGCTATACATCAGACAAAGGACTGATAATCAGAATAAACAGGGAGCTCAAGAAACTAAGCTTCCCCCAAAATCAATGAACCAATAAAGAAGTGGGCAACTGAACTAAACAGAACTCTTTGAAAGGAAGAGGTCCAGATGGTCAAAAAAACACATGAAGAAATGCTCACCATACCTGGCCGTAAAAGAAATGCAAATCAGAACCACACTAAGATTCCACCTCACTCCTGTTAGAATAGCTATCATCAAGAATACCAGCAACAACAAATGTTGGTGAAGATGTGGGCAAAAAGGAACCCTCATGCACTGCTGGTGAGAATGTAAGCTAGTACAATCACTTTGGAAACAATATGGAAGCTTCTTAAAAAACTAAACATAGAGCTGCCATATGATCCAGCAATCCCACTCCTAGGGATATACCCGAAGGAATGCGACTCAGGTTATTCCAAAGACACATACACACCCATGTTTATTGTAGCACTATTTACAATAGCCAAGCTATGGAAACAGCCAAGATGCCCCAGTACAGATAAATGGATTCGGAAAATGTGGTATTTATACACAGTGGAATTTTATTCAGCTACAAAGAAGAGTGAAATTTTGTCATTTGCAAGTAAATGGATGGAACTGGAAAACATAATCTTAAGTGAAGTTAGCCAAGCTCAGAAGGCCAAAAAATCACATGTTCTCCCTCACATGTGGATTATAGACCTAAAACAAATGCAGTAATATTATTGGACATGGGTCACACACTAAGGGGAGAATGTGCACGGGAGGAATAGGGCAAGAGAAGGAAACCTAAAACTTGAATGTGGTTCATGTGCTCACTGTAGAGGAGCAAATAAAGTAATCTTAAAATAGCAGAGGCTGCTATGGGAAGATGACTGGAAGAAGTGAAGAGGTCTGGCAGAGATGAACCAATGTGGGTTGTAATACATATGTGCATGGAAACAACGCTAGGAATCTCTGTACAGCTATCTTTATCTCAAACTAGCAAGAATGCTATGTCCTTGTTATATCTCCTGTGTTTTCTCTTCAACAAAATTGGAAAACAAGAGGGCCAAACAGATTCTGCTCAGAATCAGGAGGGTGGGAGAAATAGGAGGAGTGGGGAGGTGGCCCAAACAATGTATACAAATGTAAGTAAATGTAAAAATGATAAAAGAAAGAAAAATAAATAAATAAAAACCTCACCCTCAGAATTCTAGTAAGTATTCTGTCTACTCAATATGGAAATAAAAGCTTTTTCAAACTTTATCTTCTTTGAAGTATATTTCCAGCATTACTAAAAATGGGACATATGCCATAAAAAGATATTATAAGACAGGATCCGGATTTTTAAAGCAGTTTATTGTATTACATTATTCAACTTTATTTAACATTCTCTTTCAGTCTGATGATAGTAAAACTTCAGTGAGAGATCGCTTTAATGCCAGACAGTTCATGTCCTGGTTACAAGATGTGGATGATAAATTTGACAAACTAAAGGTATGTGTGTTTAACATAAAATGAGTTCATCCCCTCCTTAGACAGAAACTGATATTCTGTTAGGAAGAAATAATTAGGAAAGGACATACCAGTTGGTCATACCAGACCACAATTGAGAAAATAAAGGAAAGTTGAAACTGCCACAGAAAGAGTGGTTTCCATTGTGGTTCTTTGTGCTTACTTAGTATGCCTGTCTAACACATGAAGAATGGGAGAGCAGTAAGGAAAGCTCTATAAACAAAACTGTTTGATTTGAGATTTTGAATCATTTCTCCCTACATTATATGATCCCTTTGATAATTTGAAATTTCATAATTTAAAAGAATATTATGAAATCAGTTTATAAGATGAATATGAAGTTGCAGACCCAGACATGGTGTGTTGATACAAACAGGGCAGAACAGAAATAGACTTACAATTTATACCCTTTTAGTTTCCTGATGTATTCATATTAGTCCCTGAAGAAAACTGTGGATGAGATTAGGTTTAAACAGAGCAAATTTAGCAGAATAATTGACTCTTCTTTTCTTTTAAATAGACCTGTCTTTTAATGAGGCAACAACATGAAGCTGCAGCTTTAAATGCCGTCCAGAGGTTAGAATGGCAGCTCAAACTCCAAGAACTTGATCCTGCCACCTACAAATCTATCAGTATTTATGAAATCCAAGAGTTTTATGTTCCCCTTGTTGATGTCAATGATGACTTTGAGTTGACTCCTATATAGCAGTTGGTACTTCTTGACTGTGTTGTCCTTTACTTGGTGATACTCAAGCGTTACACTATGGAATACAGCCTTTTGACAAAAATATTGCTTATGCCTTCATGTTAGTAAGGGTCAGTTAAGTTGGTTAAGTAGTAAACACTGTCGTTTTATTAAAAATGAAGAGAAATATTTTGGATTTTAAGCCCAAACACAGTTTCTAACAAAACTATTATTTATATTGGTAAAAAGTAACTGTTGGATTAGAGCATGTTGGCAGACCATAGTAGGTATTTTAAAAAGTTGAGACTCTGCTAATAGCGCTGGAAGTTGTTAGCACTCTAGTAACATGATAACCACTAGTATTCCAATCTCTTTTAGGTTTTATTAAAAATATGTCAGTAAACTAAAATGTTCAATTCCTACCGAATAGTTTCTAATGTGGAAGAAAAACTTGGCACAAAATTCTTCAGTTTAAGATCTCTGTAAATTAACTGTACAGTTTTCCTTTTGAAAATTTTAATATCGTCTTCCTTTTTAATAACTTATTTTATACATATTGTGCAGTTGTACATCTTGTAATTAATGGTCAAAATGTATACAAAGGGATTGGTAGTCAAAATATGTACAAAGAAATAACTGTAAAACTGTTTTGTCTGTTTTATTGGACCAAAGTTGTAGTTTTTTTGAGGTGTAATAGCAGTGTGTTCAGGTAGCAAAACCTTTATATAAGGCATGCATGTGTTGGAGTTAGCTTGTGTTCATCCCCATAACTGTAAAGATGGTGGCTTAGTTATATTGCATGATTCTTATGATTTAACTCTCTCCATAAGTGATGCCTGGGACATTGTAAGGTGTTTCATAACCAGTGTCCTATGAGAGAACCTGTGACTACTATGTTGGACACATAATTTAGAATTAAGTCATACAAATAAATTTTAGCTCTTTTTCATGTCACAGGAGAGTCTCTTTCCCCCTGGAGCAGAAAAATGCCTTTGAATGAAAATTCTGAAATTGTAAATGTCTATTTTAATACTCAACTATGAAAGAATCTGTGGATATATGTAAATATGTTTAATAAATTTTATTGGCCATGTTAAATCATTGTAAACTTTTTTACATTGCTTAAATTTAATGTTTTAAGCTTAATAACCTTTGCACTTTTAAAATAAGACTAAGTACTCAAATCAAAAAAAGAGATACTTAGTAGTCAAAATAAGTAAAAGATTCTTAGGAATATTCCAGTAAATCTCTGAAATGTTAGTGAAAAATTGATATATGTATTTTTCTTTGTATCAAGACACAAAACATAATTTGCAAAATTTTGTAATTGAAAATAGGATTTGGTATGCTTTTTATAATAATTAGCATTGTACTTAGAAAAGTACAGTTTCTCCTATAACATGTAGATTAAATATTCAGGAATATTTCAGATGTAAAACCTGCTGCTAACCTTGCAAGACAGTTTTTGAAAGGAAAATTAGGGTAGTGTAAAATTCATCATAAGTATATGCAATAAAACTTATGAAACTTTCCACAATACTTTCCTGAATTATAAAAATAGTACTGAATGTTTTTTATTTTGATAGAGAAAGTGGAAAGAATATGTGAGTAATGAAGTGGTTTAATTCAACTTGCAAGTTGGAAATCCCAGCTAATGAAAGAGAATGAAAAGGTTTTGAGTGCAAAGGTACATATTAAGCTTAGGGAGTTTTGAATTTTTACATCAGTTTATATTTTCATTCTTACTGTACTTGGCATGCGCAATAAAGCAGCAGCACGTGTACAAAATACACAGTGCAAGGACTTATTATAAAGGCTGGATGTAGTTTTCTTTAGAAATATAGGTGAGAGATTTAGGGCTTTTTTTATTGGGTAAATGGAGCCAGAAAGGCAGGGTAGATTTTGAAGCACTGGTTTTCTTGCAGTTAAGTTTATTAATGCTGGGAACATTAAAACTAATTTATAAAAGCAATACTTTTTAATATGAAAAACTTAATGCAAGTTTGTTTATACTTTAGCCTAGAAAGAAAATTTGATGGGGTCATGTAGCAAATCATAAAAATAAAAAAGCAGGTTATTGAACGTTGAAGTTACTAGAAATTTGTAGAGCATTTTGTTCTGATGGTCTCAACTAGAGAAAGGATGGGGGAAAATACCACTGGCCAAACAGGACAAGCTGTCAAAGGAAAAAAAAGCAGGAAGCAGGATCCTGATGACTTAAAAGCAGGCATCTGGCTTTTTAGTCTTACCTACTGTCCTCACCCTTTCCATGGCACCTCAAAAAGCTGGAGCCTCCTCCATGATTCTGCATCTACAGATTTTGTCTGTAAAGTGACTCAGAGTTTATCAGGATAGCTTAAAAGTTACTGCCTTCTCATTGGAAATTTATAAACAAGTAAGTGATTAAGGACTCTTGATATTAAAAATACTCTCTGAAGCTGTCAAATGCTAGGACAAACTTGAAATGGAGTATATGAAAGAAAGTAAAGGATGGTTAGTTTCAGCAGTGATTTTTTTAAAAAAAAAACTATTCAAATATCATGAACAAGATACTAAATTGTACCTAAGCATTTGTATTTCTTTAAATCTTGTTCTAAATTATATCTGTTTAAGAAATGACTAGTTGATATTTGTGCATGTTATTTAATAAAGAGATATATTTTTATAGAAAAAAATAAGAGTGAAATGTGTGCTAAGTGTTTTTTACTTAATGTTCCATTTAGTTATATACTAAACTAAACACCATTGTTTACTTGGGCTATTGTCAAAATTGCAGAAATACTCATCCTGAAAAAACAATCTCTGAGGAATTAACCCTTCACATTTAAATCTATTCAATAATGAAGGGTCTCACAGATTTTTTTTTTTTTTTTAAGCTCAGGTCCTCATGCGAGGCAGGTGCTCTATCACTTGAGCCACATCTCCATCCCTTTTTGGTTTAGGTTATTTTTCAGATAGGGTCTTGCATTTTTGCCCAAGGCCAGCCTCAGACTATGATCCTCCTACCTATACCTCCCATGTAGCTAGGAATACCTTTTAATTCATCGTCTTGTGGCTCTTTGGAAGTCCTCTTTGTACCTAAAATAGAGTTTTAAGACTCTACAGAAGTAGTCACCCAGAATATTTCCAACCATGAAACCAGGATTCATACAAGAAACTAAGGCAAATAAAATGTAAACAATACCATTAGTTCAAACAGCTAAACAACAACAACAGAAGTAGAATTGTAAGTATTAGCTTAAAAAAGCAAACAGTACAACCAGAAGATTGGCTGGGCTTTTTCAGTGATCAAATGCTATACAGTATCTACAAATAATAGAATTTCCTTGTACATATGATGTATCTCCATCAGAAGAAATAGCATGTCATTTTATTCCTAATGATGAACAGTCTGCTCACATGGGGAATCAATTTTATTAAATGAATTATCCAGCAAACCTAAGAAATACATAAAGCACATTTGTTTGTTCAGTTTTTAAATGAATTTTTTAAAAATCTGGATGTCAAGCTGGGCATGACAATGCATGCCTACAATCCTAGCCCTCAGTTTGGGGCCAGCCTGGGCTACATAGTTTTAAATCAGCGGGTGGGAATGCTGTATCCAAATTTCCAAATAGTACTAGATAAAAGCTTTTAGATAGCCATCTCTTTTTCTCACTTTTAAAAATAGTGTTGCTGTTAATCTACATGAGACATATCTAGCATATGTTTACAGGTTAAAAAGTACCACCTGCAACCCATTATTCAGATCAGCATTTGTCAGCACCTTTCCTCATTACTTTTTTTGTAATAGTTATAATTTATATCCAATAAAAAATACCCAGATGTTAAGTAGGCAGTTTCATAAATCCTTAACAAATCCTTAACACTCAGTATTACCACCACCCAAATTAGAATATTGTGAAAAATTTCTGTCACCCCAGAAAACTCCCTCATGCTCAGTGCTTCCTACCCAGGGCAACCAGTGGGCCGATTCCCTTCATCATATATTAGTTGTACCTCGTATACTCTTGTATCTGCCTTCTTTCTCAACAAGGTTTTAAAATTCATTCATGTTGCATTTATCAGTAATTAGTAGTATATTGTGCAAATTTGTTTATTCTCTTGTTAATGGTATTTGGATTGTTTACACACTATTGTGAATAAACCTATGAACATGCAAACCTTTGTTGTGGTCATACTTTTTATTTCTTTGGGTCCGTACTGTGAAATGCAATTAATAGGTCATAGAATAGCTTAGTGTTTATTAGAAAAATGATACTTTTCTTATACCTCTATCAGCAGATGAGAATTTTCTGTGAACCCTTATCAATGGTATTGTTGGAGTTAGAGCTTTGTGGTAGAGAACTTGCTGGGGGAAAGGGAGAGAAAACTGAAAAAGAAAAAGAATGAAAAAAATATATTGTCCCTTGTGAATTTTAGCCTTCTAGTGGATGTGTATTTATACTTGTGATTTGGGATTGTTATTTTTGAGACAAGTCTCAAAGGTTGTTTTTGATTCCTGCTGTCTCAGCCTCCCTAGTGCTAGGATTGCAAGTAAGTGCTGGGATTATAGGTATGTGCCACCATGTCCAGCTCAGTACCTGTGGCTTTTATTTGTATTCTTCCAATGATTGACGTGGTTGAGCATATCTTTCCATGTGCTTATTTAAGCTACTTGTATCTCTTGTTTCTATAGGTATTCCATTCATTTCTTATTGTGTTGTCCATCTGTTGGTTTGTAGAAATCCTTTCTATAGTCTGCATAAAAGTCCTTTTTCAGATATAGTCATCATTACAGTGTGTAGCTTACCTTTTTGTTTTTCTTTTTTTTTTTTTTTTTGCCCTTTTTTGTGATTTTTTTGTTTTGTTTTGTTTTGTTTTTTGTGATAGGGTCTCCCAAACGCTTTACCTGGGCTGACTTTGAATCACGATCTTCCTGATCTCTTCCTCCTGAATAGCTAGGATTACAGGTGTCAGCCACTGGCACCTAGTACCTTACCATTTTCCTTATTGACTAATTTTCTCACTTTTTTCCTATATTTTTGCTTTTATTTCTCTTATACCACCATTCTACATTGAGCTTCAGTCAACTCTTGCTTAAACTGTTTCAGTAGCCTGGTGTTGGGCCTTAAGTTTTCTTTCTCTGAATTCATCCAGCACATTACTGTCAAATTAGTCTTTTCAAACACCACTTTCATCATGTATAAGCTAAAGAAAATTCAAATGAGTCATGCTTTCTGTGTCATGTACTTGCTTTTTCTCTGACCTCTCCTTTGACTTTCTCCCCACCTAACTCTGCTTGACCATGTCATGTTTCTTTGGAAGCTTAAGTTAATTCAATGGCACCTTCTTGAGGAAGCAGACTGAAGCTTCCCAACTCTGTTCCCTTTTCTCTCAGGTCACTTTATCTCTACCTTTGTAATGACAGAAAGAAACTATACTTGTAACTGTCTCATAGCTGAAAATCAGGAGAGGAGGAAATGAGCTAGAGGAAGATTGGAACTGCCTTTGCTATAGAAAAACCTCAGCATGCTGAATGAGACCAAAAGATAGCTAAATATGTACAGAGACTTGGGAGGGTTTGAAGCAAAGATAATTAGAGGAAAAGAAGAGAGTTTTAGAGAAAAGTAAAGGGCTTAGCAAATTTAATGAATATCAGACCTGATGGAAGAGATGAAGATGGAAGGAGGTGGTTTTCTCACTTTTTTTTTATTTCTTATTTTTCATTTTTTATTTTATTGTTTTTACATTTACTTACATGTATATACATTATTTGGACCACCTACCCCCCATTTTCTCACTTTTAATAACACACTAATAGTTTTTTCAGTGTGTTAGTAGGTATCTTCATTCTCCACAGAACATTTTTTCCTTTTAATTACTAGCAACAATGAGGTCACATGAGTATACAATCATACCTTTCAGTCTCTTAAAACACCACCTCCATTTTAAAGTCTTGAGTATTTGTTTCCTGAATTAACCTGCCATTTCTTAATGCTCTATGTAGGTTGCAGAGCTACTCTTTGTGCATTCTTTCCCAATTTTGTGTGGCTTGGCAGAGTTTGGGGGTCAAAAAACCCAGGGTCATTGATGTATTTTGAGAAGGGCCATTGTCTGAACTGTATTCATTTCATAGTTTCCAGCTCCTGTCCCTGGTGCTCACATAATCTATCTCCGAAGTCACCAGCACCTCAGAGCATGTCAGGGACTGTGCTTCACCTGGATGACTGATGACCATCAAGCTCTTTGGTTGTAGTTCTAAAAGTATATCAAGAGTGGTCACATGAGATATCTGATATTAGAAGTCAAGACGTCTAAAACAATAAACCCATTTTGTGTTTATTTTTTAAATATATTTCCAAAGATAAGAAATAATTGTTATTTTACATTTTTGTAAATCTTATGCATCCTAGAAGGTAGCTAGAATTTTATATCTGCTTCTACACTTAATGTGTTGGAATCTGTTATGGAGGAAAATCTATCCTCACACAAATATTGGAGAGTTTAGGAGTTTCTTGTTTGTTTGGCAGTATTGGGCTTTAAACTCAGGTCCTCGCACTTTGCTAGCCAGGCACTCAACTACTTGAACTGTACAAGAGAGAAGGGCCAGAAAAGAAGCAAGCAAGTCAGGTGGGGAGGGGATGGCATAGCAGAGAGATAAATCTAAACATGAAAAAGGTAACATAGCATTTGATGTGGCGGTAAAGTAGCCATAGAGTTGCATGCAACCATATATGGGTTAAACCTTGCTTTTTGCTTCTGTAACCTGCTTGCAAGGTATATAAGGAAAGGCCCCTTTGTTCTCGGGGCTCAGCCTTTGGACACAAGTCAGCTGGGTCTGTGCTGTCACAATAAAATGTTGCTTCCTGCTGAACTGCCTCAGTGTCTTGTTTCTCTGTCCTTGAGTATCCTGCAACAGAACCACTCCACCTAGCCCTTCACTGCTTTAGTTAAATTTTAATAGGGTCTCACCTTTTTGCTGGGGCCAGCTTCAAACTGCTGGGATTACAGGCTTGAACCACCAATCTGTGACTTGTTTCTTGAGAATATATCTGCTAACTTTACCCACACTGGCCTCAAAATGCAAGCCATGTTATTCCCAAAAAGAGAGAAATCCTTTAATAGTTTTTCAGGTAAATATGAGTATTATTTGATTCCACATTTAAATACTACAAGTAGTAGTGTGTAGAAGGTTAATTGCTTTATGGAATCTGAAACCATGTCAATGATTCTTATGAGCATTTCCTATTCCTAGTTCATTAGTCCATGGTCTGTACTTTGAATGGGTTTTACTGCATGGATTTCCCTGGGAGATTGATGCACAGATGACACGCATAGGAATTTCAGGTGCTCACAGTTCTTGAGCCCTCTCTGAGAATGAAAGCACAGGCAGACTCCAGCAGCAGAGGTCAAAAACATTTGTAGAGAAGAGAAAGACTGAATAGTGGGGGAGGCAGGGGTATCTGGAAAATGGTGGTCCCATGGGTCAGAGTGATGATTGGGTTTTATAGCCTTTTTTGTGTATTGCTTGAGGGCAGAGATGCCTTTCAGATGCAGACAGACGTTTTCTGGGAAGGAGAAGTGTCTCGACCTCCTGTGGTCCGTCCTTCAAGTCCCCCCTCCACCCCACCCCCACCACCCGCCCCAGT